TATCACCAATCTATGAACATATGACTGGAGATGTCTCCTATATTTATGAGCATGCTTAGTATTAGTATAAAATAAAATGGACAACCATTTAAATATGAGCCATCCGTGTTGCAGCAGCTGCCCAAAAGGCCAACACAGTTCTAGGCTGCATAAACAGAGGGATAGAATCAAGATCATGTGAAGTGTTAATACCACTTTATAATACCTTGGTAAGGCCACACTTGGAATACTGCATTCAGTTTTGGTTGCCACGATGTAGAAAAGATGTGGAGATTCTAGAAAGAGTGCAGAGAAGAGCAACAAAGATGATTAGGGGACTGGAGTCTAAAACAAATAAAGAACAGTTGCAGGAATTGGATATGTCTAGTTTAATAGAAAGAAGGACTAGGGGAGACATGATAGCAGTGTTCCAATATCTCAGGGGTTGCCACAAAGAAGAGGGAGTCAAACTATTTTCCAAGGCACCTGAGGGTAGAACAAGAAGCAGTGGGTGGAAGCTAGAACTGAGGAGAAATTTCCTGACAGTTAGAACAATTAATCAGTGGAACAAATTGCTTCCAGAAGTTGTGAATGCCCCAACACTGGAAGTCTTTAAGAAGATGTTGGATAGCCATTTGTCTGAAACGGTATAGGGTTTCCTGTTAGACAGGGGGTTGGACTAGAAGACCTCCAAGGTCCCTTCCAACTCTGCTATTATATTATTGTATTATAAAATGCAAGTTAGACAATTGGAACCATATTTTTATTTAGTTGTTTGTTTGTTTGTTTGCTGATATGATTTTTTTCTTCCATTATCATTTGATTGTATTACTAGGCAATAAATCTCCTTCCAGCCAATACTCAAATTAGTGAGATACGAATATTCTTGGAAAAAGTCCTTGAAGAAAATGCCCAAAAGAAGCGATTCAATCAGATACTTAAAAAGCTTCTCCATGCTGAATTCTTGCGAGTATGTGTCAGATTTTTTTTTCTTATCAATGAATGTTATTTCAGAGATCCCCATATCCCCATACTAGTTAAAAGACCACATTTGGTTTTTTTTTCCTCAAATGCTTTTGAAGGAATTATTCTTTTCTAAAGTTATTCTTATTTTGCGAAAGGTACAGGAAGAACGGATTTTACATCAGCAGGTGAAATGCATAATCACAGAAGAAAAAGTTTGTGGTGTGTGTAAAAAGAAGATTGGAAATAGGTATGTAAAATTATTATTAGGAGACTAGAAGAAATTGCTGCCCAATCTGTTTTTGCAGATTTTCCAGTTCTGACAGTATAGTCTTGCCTTGGTTGCTTTTACAGAAATGTCTGTAAAGAAATTGGGTTCTTTATATGTAGTTTCATAACTGATCTTATAAAATGGCAGTCTTTCTCACTTGAAAGCGATACAGGATATAAGCCTTTTAAATTTAGTCATATATGAAAGATGCCATTCAAGTAAAGGACTTAATGAACTTTAGATTTTATATCTTTTTTAACTGATGTTGATCCTTTAATTTTGTTTTATTTAAGTGATTCTTTTCAAGGTATTATACTTGCAAATCTTTTTATTTCTTATTTTATATTAGAAATGTGCTTCAAATATGTTCAGATTTACAGCTGAGTCACAATTGGTGCTCATTCCAAGAAAATATATGTAGATTACTGTGTTAACATGTTCTTGAATGAATCAGTTCCTTAATAAGCAGTACAGCTAGTTTACATTCTTTGTTTAGTCCCATATTCTGTTTTGATGTTTTATGGTAAAAACTAAAGGCTCCTTCAGATCAGTGTCAGCTTTTGGTAACTCCTGGACATGTTCAGATAGAAATTTTGTGGCAACATTGCAGAGCTGGTTTGCTGTTGCTTTCTGGGGTGTTTTTTCAACTTCCCAGGCAAGCTTGTAGCGCAAGATTCCCTGGTGGCCTTCCATTGAAATATTAAAAAAGCACAACCTTGATTAGCTTTGAAGACCAGACAGGATCAGCCAGATGCTGCAACCTGTTTAGGCCATTATTATATAACTTAGCGTTTTTACTTTCAAAAAGAAAGTAAAGTCTCACCACCATGTTCCTTATTATTGGGATGTTTATTAAATGGTAGGATTTTTCCTTCCTTGTATTTTATAGACTGCAATTTTCATATTGTGCTCAGTTTTTTAATCTGATTGTTCAGTTAGAAATCACTCTCATGACCTTCTGTCCTGTTACCTTATAAAGTCCTGCTTTACAACATTATAACTTCCCACTTTGTACATAGCTTTATGAAGTAGGCAGTGTTTGTCTGGGATCCAAACTTTCTTTCAAAAAGCTTTGTAATTAAAAAAGTAAAGCTGTTATTTGCAACAAAAGAAGGAAAGCACTATTGTACATAAATTACATAGTGCTTTATATAAACACAAAGGGACAATGACACTGGAGTAAAGCATTAAAAATTTCATCAAAAAGAGATATTATTGCAAATATACCTTTGGAAATAATTGATTTATGTAAGAAGTAACTTGTACATGTATAAAAATAGCAAAACAAATTAGTGCCCTTTTATAAGGAGCACCAGAAATAATTAGCATAAGATACTATGTTTAAACTGATACACTGTTTTCTTTTCTGCTTATAGTGCCTTTGCCCGGTTTCCTAATGCAGTTGTTGTGCATTATTTCTGCTCCAAAGATGTTGGCTCAATGGATACCTGAAAGCATTTATTACATGAACTAGGTGGTCACAATGTTCATATGGAAAGAGAAAGAACATTTGATAAGCAGTTTGATATCTCTAAAGAATCTTCTGAGGCATGTTGCTTGCAAACAGCTTGAGCCCTCCATTGCTTCACTGGATGATTTCTAATTTGCCCAGCGTGGACTGAACAACAACAAAAAACAGGTTTGAACTATAGTTAGATACACTTAGCGGCAGGTTAACCTCATAGTACTTCAGTTTGAGGAAGAATGCAAACTAAATATGTAATAGCTTGCTGTTACACTCCAGATTTATAGGAATTCCTATTAAAAGAAAACTGATGCTGAACATTAATAACAGGAGCAAATAGCCTTTTGGGTACAAGTTATCATTCAGATCCAAGGTGGGGAAAAACTCTTATATTTTATCAGCGTTGTATTAAAATCTACTTTCATCAGCCATTTGGAGGCAGGTACTATCAAAAAGGCTGTACTTAGATTTTCTTTCTTTCTAGTATTGGAAAAAAGTAGGTACTGATAAGAAAACTTTGTATCTGAAGAAATTATCAGCAGTAATAGTTCCAAAGGAACTAATCTCATACAATATGATCAGAATTGCTATTATTAGTTTAATTTTTTGAAAATACAAATGGGCTTACTATTTTGCACTGTGTTTTGTCACTAACATGATGAACATAATAAAAACGGCAACAATTTTTGAAGGAAAACTAGCACTTGCACTTTACAGAAAAGAGAAAAAAAGTGATCTTTTGAGATTTTAAAGGGGGCAGGTTTTCATATTGCTGGAACAGCTGATCTCTATTTAAAAATAACATTGTAGTGAAATATTTAAGCCTTTTGTGCACTTCCCCCTTCACGTAGAACAGATACTTATTTAATGTCAGTATTTGAGTTTCTTATACCTGTTCAGATTGGTGCTCTTTGGTTGCTTGATGTACCTAAATAACTTTTTATGTTGGAAGAAACTGCTTATTTTTACATACTGGAATTTAAATCTTTGTTGTGAAGAGGATAAGGATGTGAGTATTCACATAAAAATAAACCCAGGAGCTAAATGAGGAATTACTTCACCTTAGTTTCGTGTTGTTTTATTTTTTTGCATTTTGTAAATTTGATAATGCAATTAAGCCTTATGATCTGAGCTGGCCTAAAATGTAAGGATGGCCCAAGAAAAGTTGGTTAAGATTTTCTTTTTATACTATTTGAATTTCAGTTATAATATGTGCTTGTTATGGTTAGAAATGAACAATGAGAAATTTAGAACAAAGTAATTCTTTTCTTCACATAGAAGAAATACAAAGCTACTGGGTTTGCGCATTTATACTCAAAAACCTTTATAAAGTAGGTCAGATAACTCTCTTCGGAAATTAACAGACAAAGGAAAATTACTGCAAAACAAATTATGAGCTTTGCTGACCATTCTGACACACTTTAAAATGTGTTTGCTGCCAAGAAAATGATGAGCCGCAGAGGCTTCTGGTAAGTATTTTGCTTTTCCTTCACAGCAAAGTTTTATGTGCCTTGGTTCAGCTTCCTGTATCCTTGGAGGAAATGTTGCTTGTGTTTTTATTTACCCTGCTGGTAGCCGTGTATAAGAATATGGGGCTCACCAATTGTACAGCAGGTTCCTTTAAAGCAATAAAGTTTGATGTTTTGAGAAATTGTCACTGCGATCTGTTTTTCCCTGTATTTCCTCTTTGAAATCAATGGTGTGTGTAAGTACTGTCCAAGAGTTTAGTGTGAAATAAGTATTGTGCTGATAGTGAACTTCTAAAAAGTTCTGTTCGGGAATATCTCTCATAAACTGCTATAAAGTTTATGAAGTTCAGTTTAACTTTATTTGCCTTCATTTATGCGTGGCACGACAAAACCGCGCTACGCAAAATAGCGGAGATTAAATCGCGTCACTAAAGTCGCGACGTCATCACCGCGCGTCATCACCGCGGGGACAACAGCGCGGTGACAGAAGGGCGTTCTACATGCTTTGTCCTTTGCCTCCAAAGGTAGCCCTCCTCCTCCAGCTGACAGCGGCAGCAGCAGCCTGCGGGAAGGGTCC